TTTGTCTTGGATGCAAAAATAGAGTGAAATCACTTGCTTTTATAAAAACTTGGGATTGTTCAGATAGCCCGATCACCGCATTTCGCTTTCCTTCAAAAATCCTTTTAACTGGATCGAGAGTAACTAGAACAAATGGGACGACGACTTTGCCTTGATAACTTTGTAATGTCGTACTTGCCCCAATGTTCCAGAGAACAAAATGTCCCTCGGGCTTCCTGTGCCTTTATGTTTGATTTCGAGTAACGCATAGCCTTGGAGACGTGAAAAAGCTACCATCCTTCGTATATAGAAAGAGACGAATGGAGACCAGACTTTATAAATGACAAGAGACACACGTCTCAAAGATGTGGTTTAAATTTATAGGCTATAATAGAGAATGGATACACAAAATTGCCTTTCAAGCATAATACTGAGATCAAAGTGAAATTTTTTGAAATACATCATAAACTATGCATAATATTTTCGAACATGATCTGCCTTGACTGGATTTCAAAATTCAGTGCCATCCATGTTGGCCAGAACTAGTGCTCCTCCGGAGAAAGCCTTTTTCACCACAAATGGTCCTTCATAATTCGGGGTCCATTTGCCTCGATGATCTTTCTGTAATGGGAGAATTCTTTTTAGAACTAAATCTTCCTCTTTAAACCTTCTTGGGTGCACCTTCTTGTCATAGGCTTTCATCATTCTTCTTTGATAAAGTTGTCTTCTGCATAATGCCGTCAACCTCTTTTCTTCTACAAAGTTTAGCTGCTCATAACGTCTTTGGACCCACTCAGCCTCTTGTAACTTAGCTTCCATGATAACTCTCAATGATGGAATTTCTACTTCAATAGGGAGAACAACTTCCATACCATAAACTAAAGAAAATGGCGTTGCCCCAGTTGAAGTACGGACTGAGGTGCGGTAACCATGTAAGGCAAATGGAAGCATTTCATGCCAGTCTCTGTAAGTTACAGTCATCTTTTCAACTATTCTTTTTATGTTTTTGTTGGCGGCTTCTACTGCACCGTTCATCTTAGGTCGATAAGGGGTTGAGTTGAGATGTTTGATCTTAAACTGCTCATAGAGCTCACTCATCAATTTGTTGTTCAAATTCCTTGCATTATCGGAAATTATGGTTTTAGGAAGACCATAACGACAAATAATTTCCTTCTTGATGAATTTGACTACAACTCCTTTTGTCACATCTCGGTAAGAAGCTGCTTCTACCCATTTAGTAAAATAATCTATGGCAACCAAAATGAATTGGTGCCCATTTGATGCTTTAGGTTCGATAGGTCCTATCACATCCATGCCCCACATAGAGAAAGGCCAAGGAGCTGTCAAAGCATGCAAATGAGAAGCAGGAGCATGAGTCTTGTCCGAGTAAATTTGACATTTGTGACATTTTCTTGCATATTTAATACAATCTGTCTCTATAGTCAGCCAGTAATAGCCAGCTCTTAAAATTTGTCTAGCCATCATGTGTCCATTTGCATGAGTGCCACAAACTCCTTCATGAATTTCCTCCATAATCCTATTGGCATCTCTTCCTTCGACGCACCTTAGGAGAACCATGTCATGGTTTCTCTTGTACAGTATCTCTCCGTTTAAGAAAAACTTTATTGCCAACTTGCGAAGGGTGCGCTTATCATTTTCTGAAGCATTTGGTGGATACTCTTTACTCTTTATATATTGCTTGATGTCATGAAACCAGGGCTTACCGTCGGGTTCTTCCTCAATGCTCATACAAGAAGCTGGGACATCTCTCCTCCCAACTTTAATCGGACGGACATCCTCATTGAGTTCTAAATTGAACATCACCGCTAATGTGGCCAATGCATCTGCTACTTGATTATTTTCTCTTGGCAAATAATCAAATGAGATTTCATCAAATTCTTGTGACAATTCTGTTATGAATTGTTTATAAGGCAACAACTTAACGTCTCTTGTTTCCCATTCTCCTCTTAGTTGATGAATTACTAGCATAGAATCCCCAAAAACTTTAAGTTTCTTAACCTTCATATCAATAGCAGCTTGGACGCCCATCGAGCATGCTTCATACTCGGCCATATTATGTTTGCAGTCAAAACATAATCTAGCGATAAGAGGGTATAGTTCCCCTTTGGGTGATATCAAAATAGCCCCAATCCCATGACCTAACTCGTTAGAGGCACCATCAAACATCATGGTCCAAGTTTGCGGGTCTAAACTTTCCTCACTTGCAGTTATGGTGGAGATATACTCATCTGGAAAATCGAACTTTACCGGTATGTAGTCATTTATAGGTTGTTGAGCTAGGTAGTCGGCCAAAGCACTCCCCTTAATAGCCTTTTGAGTCACATAAACAATATCATATTCGGACAAGAGGACCTGCCACCTTGCAATTCCACCCGAGAGAGACGGCTTTTCAAAAATGTACTTTATGGGGTCCATCTTTGAAATGAGCCATGTGGTATAATACAACATGTATTGTCTTAGACGTCGAGCAGCCCAAGCTAAAGCACAACAAGTTTTTTCTACTTGAGAGTATCTAGTCTCGCAATCGGTGAACTTTTTACTTAAATAATATATAGCCTGTTCTTTCCTGCCTGAATCATCATGCTGCCCCAGTACACATCCCATTGAGTTTTCAGTCACTGTGAGATATAAAATAAGGAGTCGTCCTGGAGTTGGTGGCACAAGAACTGGAGGGTCTTGCAAATACTGCTTAACCTTATCGAATGCTGCTTGACAATCTTCACTTCATACCCCATCGTTGTTCTTGCGGAGCAATTTAAAGATGGGTTCGCAAGTTGCTGTTAAGTGAGATATGAACCTTGCGATGTAGTTGAGTCGTCCTAGAAATCCTCTGACTTCTTTCTGCGTCTGTGGAGGTGGCATCTCTAAGATTGCTTTGACTTTATCCGGGTCAACTTTAATGCCTTCTTGACTTACTACAAAACCCAGGAGTTTTCCAGTGGTTGCCCCAAATATGCATTTGTTGGAATTGAGTTTCAATTTGAACTTCCTCAATCGATCAAACAGCTTCCTTAAAATAGTTGTGTGCTCCTCGCCCTGTTTTGACTTGGCAATCATATCATCCACGTAAACTTCAATTTCTTTGTGCATCAAGTCATGAAAGAGAGTAACCATGGCACGCTGGTAGGTTGCCCCAGCATTTTTTAGCCCAAATGACATAACTTTGTAGCAGAAAGTTCCCCATAGCGTAATGAATGTGGTTTTTTCACGATCCTCAGGTGCCATCTTGATCTGATTGTAGCCTGAAAACCCATCCATAAAAGAGAAGGTTGAGAACCCAGCAGTATTATCAACCAGCACATCGATATGAGGAAGCGGGAAGTTGTCTTTTGGACTTGCACGATTCAAGTCTCTATAATCAACACACATTCTTACTTGTCCATTTTTCTTTGGTACAGGGACAATGTTTGCCACCCACTCAGGGTAATTAGATACCGTAAGGAACCCTGCATCGATTTGCTTTCTTACTTCATTCTTTATCTTGATCAACATATCTGGCCTCATTTTCCGTAACTTCTGTCTCATCGGCTTGAACTCTGGGTTGATCGGCAATTTGTGCACTACGATGTCTGTATCTAAACCAAGCATATCCTAATAGGACCAAGCAAAAACATCAGCATACTCATGAAGTAACTCTATCAACTTTTTGCGACTCTCTGAAGACATATGAGTGCCTATTTTAATCTCTTTGGCTTCGGCTTGTGATCCCAAGTTAAGTGTCTCAGTTAATTCTTCATGGGGTCCCAACATTTTTTCTTCTTCTTCTAGCATTCTCAATAACTCAGCAGAGGGCTCGTCATCTATTTCCTCATCAGATTCAATAATGTATATAGGTGTATCGAGCTCGTATTTCGAATCATTATCGCATTCAATCTCAGTATTACTGTTTAAGACATAATAAAGGAGAAAAGAAAAGAAACAGAAATAAATGAATAAATTGGCCCAGAAAATAGTAGAGGAAGGAAACAAAGTGAATGAACTCAAACTTTATTGATATGAAAGAATTATAAACAAATAATGGGTCTGGATGGAATGTACATGAAATAGAAAATTAATTTAATTAATTAAGAAAATGAGGGGAAGGAAAAAAAATGGACAATTACTTTGATTTATTATTTACAAAAGACGGTAGCTTTATCACGCTCCAATTGCTCAGCTCGAAACCGTCTGGACACAGGTAGACAAAAGGTCCGACTTGCTCTCTTTCTTCTGTCACTGCAGCCACTACAGAGCTCTCATCGTACTCTTGATGGATTGTACCGGCACTTCTGAAAGAGTGGGTGAGAGGTGGAACAATCCTCCTAGGGTAATCACGCTCCTCATTCTCAAATCTTGAGAGACGTTTTGCTTTTTCCAGACTCCGCACTCTAATGATGTCGCCTCTACTTGGTTTATACCCCAACCCGAACTTCTTTGTATTCTTAGCCATCCTCAGCAGTTTGTCTAAGCTCCCATTGTCTCCTTTAAAGGCGGTCTCTAAAAGTCGTGGCTTAGGTCTTCCAAACTTCCCATGTAAAGTTGTTGCATTTGCAATCTCGAATGATTGGAATGAAGACTCAAAAGCTTCTTCTGCTACTTCAACGTATGACATCGAAGCAAACCTTGAGACTAGAATGTCTTCTTGTCCCGATATGATCACTAACTTTTGGTCAACCGCAAACTTAATTTTCTGATGTAAAGTGGATGGAACTGCTCCTGCCGAATGTATCCACGGTCGCCCCAGCAAGAAACTATAAGCTGATGTGATGTCCATAACCTGAAATGTTATGTCAAAGGTGCAAGGACCTATTTGGATCGGGATCTCAATATCCCCAACAACAGCACTGCGAGCTCCATCGAAAGCTCTTACTATCACAGTACTAGGTCTCATATGAGACATATCAACGGGTAACTTCTCTAGCGTGGATCTTGGCATTATGTTTAAAGAAGATCCATTGTCCACAAGGACTTTTGCTATTAGGAAGTTTTTACACTTAACTGAGATGTGGAGAGCTTTGGTATGTCCTGTACCCTCTGGTGGTATCTCCTCATCTGTAAAACTGATGGAGCTAGATGCCGTTATATTCCCTACAACGTTGCTCAAATTATCCACTGTGATGTCTTGTGAAACGAAAGCCTGTTTCAAGGCCTCCAACAATGCATTCTGATGCGCTTCAGAGGATAACAATAAAGATAATATAGAGATATTTGCGGGTGTCCGACCTAATTGTTCAATAACTTTGTATTCACTTTGCTTCACTAGCTTCAGAAACTCTTGAGTCTCTTCCTCGGACATGGGTTGTTTAGGACTTACATCCTTTACAACAATTGCCTCCACCAGTTCATCACGGGCATCCTCGTGGAGTTTGGCCTTCCCTTTCTTATCCTCTTCCACTTTCTCCTTCTTCTTCTCACTTGCTTTCTCTTTATTCTTTTCACTAGTAGTTTCATTCACACGCTTTAGCAGGCTATCCGGTGTATAACATCTCCCAGTTCGTGTCAAACCTCCCACTCCAGTGATATTGTCAACTGGGAGTGAAGGAGATGATACATCTTGCCCTACAGTTACCTTGCACTCATATTTCCAAGGCACTGCTTTGGAACTTTTATACTCGAAAGGAGYTGGGACCGTGATAKTSATTGGTTTCCGACTGCAGCTAGGTGCATCTGGCTTTTCACGGTAAAAGATGGTGAGGGGTTTTGGTTTAAGAGAATCACTTGAGCCCTCAGCAACCAAGATATCTTCCACAACATTTGTCYGTTTCTTCTRGTGAGAATTTGCAAYAGTAAGGATTTTTGAGTCTAACAACTCTTGAACTTTCATCCGAAAAYTGTTGCATTGCTCTAGGGAGTGACCTTTTGCCCCAGMRTGGAACRGGCACGTCAGACTTTCATCATACCCTTTATACTTTGGGCATAGGTATTCCACTGATATATATCCACTGCCCAAGAGAATTTCGAATAGTTCCKCCATAGGGGTTGTAATATYGGCAACYTTACTCTTYGACTCGATCCCTTGGCATTCGATTGCATTTATTTGGACATTCTGATGATTCGRCAGYRGMTTCTTACTTACATCARGCCCATTTTCTTTTTTAAAGTTMAACCAACCTGCCTTGATCAAAGCTTGAACCCTGTATTTCAATGYAGTGCAGTTCTCTGTTGAATGCCYTATGGCTCCTGCGTGATAGTCACAACGAGCATTTGCATCATACCATCTTGGGTATGGWGGCTGGATCGGATCTACAGGTACAGGTGCCAGCTGATTATTTTGAAATAACTGAGGCAGAAGTTCAGTATAAGTCATGGGGATTGGGTCAAACTGGGTCTGTTTACGTGCCCCTCTATTATTCTGCTGCCCTTGAGTATAGAATGTATTATGCTGCTGACCCCTAGGTTGAAAATTTTGACTGGTTGGGGTAAGTTGGAAATTTTGACTGGCTGGGGGTCGAAAATTTTGGGAAGCATAAGGGTAGTAATGTGAAGTTGCATTATTCACAAATGGTTGATTATACCCGTATGGCGTTGGGTAATAATACGGAGAGTATTGCGGTGTCCGACGGTACGGTTGTTGTTTCCAAGAGTGTCGGTCTGCTCCCACCATTTGAACCTCACCTTCCTTCTTCTTGGAATGACTTGCCTTCTTTGCGGCCAATGGCTCATCGGTAGTACTAGTTATTCGCCCATGTCTAACCCCGTATTCGATTCTTTCTCCGATGGTCATAATATCAGAGAAATTTGTGGAAGCGCTTCCTATCATCCGATCATAGAAAGGATGTTTTAGGGTATTGATGAACATGGCAGATAGCTCCTTATCTATTAAAGGAGGTTGGACTTGAGCTGCCGTGTCCCTCCACCTTTGAGCATACTCCTTAAAGCTCTTTGTACTCTTCTTCTCCATCCTCTGTAAATCTAAGCGATCTGGAGCCATGTCTATGTTATGCTTATATTGTTTTAGGAAGGAGTCGGCCAGATTCTTCCACGAGCCAACATGAGAGCTATCTAACTGCATGTACCAACGAGAGGCCGGACCAGATAAACTATCTTGAAAGCAGTGTATCAACAATTTGTCATTTTGGACGTATGCTGCCATCTTCCTACAGTACATTATAGATGATTCTTAGGACAAGAAGAACCATTGTACTTCTCAAACTCTGGCACCTTGAGTTTTGGAGGGATGACTAAACCAGACACCGAGCACAATTGTGAGGCATCGATGTTGCCAAAAACGTCTGTCCTCTCTATTGCTCTTAATCTTTCCTTCAGAACTTCGAACTTCTCATTACTAGGGGCATTTTGTCCGACTGGGTCTGTCTTGGCTAGGAGATCGCCTAGGTTAAGGACTGTAGGGGGTGACATCATTTGCTCGGGCTCTCGAAAAATGATGTTGGTTGGGATTTGCTGAGCTCCCTTAACAAAGGGATGCAGATACTGACCAACCGGGACGTCATACAGAGGGTTGTACGTTGTATATTGTGGCATGAAACCCTCTGCCACTGGCCTAAGAGGTGGACCTTACCAAAGTGGATAAGGCGGGGTTTCTTGCGGCTCATGGACAGGGTTGCTAGATGTAGCAGGATCTGCAGCCGATTTGCCTTTTTCCAACGCGAGGAGGATGACATCTAACTTTTCTCGCAACTCCTCGATATCTTTCCTTGTTTTCTCCTGCTCGGCTTTTTGATCTTCCATCATTAATCTTGCCCTGCGTCTAGTACGGTAAGTGCGATGTGGTGCCAGTGAGCGAGCTATCTTGAACAATCCCTTTTGTTTTTTAGAAAAATAGAAGACAAAAAGAAAGAGAAAGAAAACCATAAATAAATAAGTTCGTGACTTTATTATWAATTGGATAAATAAATAAATGAAGATTACAAGAAAACAACAATTATGCCAAATTTGAACCCCAATGCTTAAATCATGGAATTGAAAGTACATTAAAGCAAAGTGTCAATAAAACTGTCTCCAATGCTCTAGATCTCGTCGAAGTTTGCCCAAGAACTTGAGTGTGCTTTTGCCATTCGGCTGTGTAGGGGCAATGGCAGATGTGAGAGCTCGTGCCTCTT